GGCCCAGATCGGCGATCAGCTCCAGTTACTTAAACAAATGAGTACTCCCACACCTGCCCCAACTACGTCACTACCTCAAGAGCAATTAGGCTTAGGCTTGAAGGTCCCTCCTTGCGACACTGAAACCTTTTATGGGGGTTATGAACAATGGCCGTCCTTCCGTGATATGTTCACGGTGGTCTACATAAACCACCCAAAACTCACTATAGCACAAAAATTGTACCACCTCCGGTACAAAACGCAAGGCAAAGCCGGCCAGATTGTAAAACAGTTCCCATTAAGTGACGACAATTTTGACCTCGCGTGGGAAGCCCTAAGGTCCCGATACGAGAATAAACGAGTTTTGGTTGAAAATCAAATAAGGATTTTAATGAACCTGAAAACAATCCAAGTTGAGAGTAGCGAAGAAATTCAAAGATTGCAATCCACAGTGAACAATTGCCTGCAAATCTTAGGAACTCAACAAATTTCTAATGAAAGTTGGGATCCTATATTAATATACTTGGTGACATCCAAACTTCCCGAAAATATCGTGGCATTGTGGGAACAATCTCTTAGTTCACGGAAAGACCTCCCCAACTGGTCTCAAATGAACCAGTTCCTCACAACCCGGTATGAAGTGGTGGAAAGGGTGGATCAATGGCGACCAGCCAAGCCCCGACAAAATCCCCCAAACACCTCCTTCTCAAGACAGCCTGCTTTACAAAATAGATCCTTTCCGAAACCCAGTCAATCCCAAAACTCTCATAACAGATCCCTAACTCATATCAACTCCCACATGACAGAGCAGCGCAAAATTTACAGTTGTGTTATGTGCAAGCACCCTACGCACACGATGAATAACTGCTACAAATACAAAAACTTTTCTATCCCAGATCGCACAAAGTTTGTGAAAGACAAAAATCTCTGCGAAAATTGCCTTTCTCAGACACATCTAATAAAAGATTGCAGCAGCACTAACACGTGCCTTCATTGCCAAAAGCGGCACCATTCAACTCTCCACTATGATGTAGCATCTACCCCGATTAAAAATGATGGTCGAATCCACAGCACGACTTTGCAACATACAACCACACTGTCTAACGTTCCCAACTCACAAACCACCAGTCAGTCGCAAGCTCTTAATGAACAGGCATCGTGTTCGAGCACAAAACAAGTACAGTCCTTTTATTCGGAAAACGATAACAAGGTACTGCTCCCAACTGCTATTGTGTCTGTAGAACATCGAGGTGATCTCTTTAAATTAAGAGCCCTGATTGACCAAGGGTCAGAACGGAGCTTTATCTCATCTAAAGCCCAAACAAAATTAAGACTCCCATGCCAACAATCAAACTTTGAAATCTCCGGCATGGGTGGAAGGGTGGTTCAAACCTCTAATAAGCTATGCTCTCTGGTCTTAGTCTCCGCCGACCAAAGCATAAAAATTAAAGCTCAAGCTATAGTGTTGCCAAAACTGACCAGACTTCTCCCGAAGTTCCAACTGAACCACAACCAAAGAGAAAAACGGTCACATCTTAAATTAGCAGATCCAAACTGCTATTCCCCAGCTCAAATAGATATCGTAATAGGCAGTGATATCCTTCCCCAAATAATGCTAGAAGGTATCGAAAAGATATCCCATAACTTGCTAGCACAAAATACTATATTTGGTTGGATCTTAAGTGGTCAGATTCCAGAAAAGGTGGCCTCTTTCTCTACCCAGGTGGAAGAAATATCCAATACATACTTAGATAGTCAACTCAAAAGGTTTTGAAGAAGTTCCAAACGCCCAAATCACCACTCCCGAAGACAAGCAGTGCGAAGACTACTATACAGCCACTACCACTCGCACAAATGATGGTCGATACATAGTCCGGCTCCCCTTTAAGCCCAGATTCCCAGATAAAATTGCCTTGGGCCCATCTCGGACCGCGGCGCTCCAGCAATTCCTAAGCATGGAGCGTTCACTAGTCAAAAGGGGCAATCTGAAAACCATGTATGATGATGTCGTAGAAGAATACCTCACCCTTGACCATATGGAAGAAACGACTTCCTATGAGAAAGCTTCAGAAGACAAATACCTGTCGTTCTATCTCCCTCACCACGCGGTTATCAAACCCGAAAAAAGAACGACAAAAGTACGTGTGGTGTTCAATGCATCCAAACGATCTGGTTNTAACGACAAAAGTACGAGTGGTGTTCAATGCATCCAAAAGATCTGGTTCCGGTCTCTCCCTGAATGACGTTTTATATACCGGACCAACGCTCCAACCAGACTTAATGCTATTGATCTTGAAATGGCGAATGTACAAATTTGTCTTCAACGGCGACGTCGAAAAAATGTATCGACAAATATTACTCCATAAAGATGACGAAGATTTCCAAAAAATTGTATTCCGGTCATCCACAAACAGTCCAATAAGAGACTACAAGTTAAAAACTGTTCGGTGTAAATTGTGCACCCTATCTCGCTATACGCACACTCCACCAACTCGCACAAGATGTGGAAATAACCCATCCCTTGGCAGTCCCCATCTTAAATAGTGAAACCTATGTGGACGACATTCTGTCTGGCGGTCATGACCTACTCTCAGCCACTCAATCGCTATCCCAAGTCATTGAAGCACTAAACTCAGCAGGCTTCCCTTTAAAAAAAATCACGGCAAATCACCCTGACACATTCTCAAAAACATAAGGAAAGAAGACTTGCTGGACACAAACTTTCTCGAATTCGAGAAAGCAAGTACTACAAAAACACTCGGGATTCAGTGGAATGCTCTAAACGACACCTTCTCGTATACCATTGAGTCTATCCCAGCATCGTCAACAAGCACAAAGCGGCAGACCCTCTCTTCCGTTGCGAAACTTTTCGATCCCGCAGGGTGGCTTACGCCAATAATGATTCAAGCTAAAATCTTACTGCAAGAGCTATGGCTGGATGGTACTGACTGGGACGAACAGGTCAAACCCCTCCGTCTCATGAAATGGATGCAGTTTGCGAACAACTTGCTAACAATTCCGTCCATCCAAATACCCCGCTGGGTCAACTATATCCCGGACCAAAATGTCGAACTACACGGCTTCTGCGACGCCTCTGAAAAGGCCTATTGCGCAAATATATATGTTCGAACCTCAGAAGGCCCCGTACCACCTCCCACCTGCTGGTATCGAAAGGTAAAGTGGCGCCTCTTAGAACCACAAGCCTTCCCCGGCTGGAATTATGTGGTGCCCTTCTCCTGGCCAAACTAGTCGCAGTTGTCCAGTCCCATCTCAAGCTCTCGAATAGGAAATTGACCATGTGGTCCGACTCTGAAATAGTCCTGGCGTGGCTGAAACAGCCCCCCTACACGTGGAAAACTTTCGTTTCCAATAGAACCGCGCAGATAATTAAGCTAGTCGGAAACGCCACCTGGAAGCACGTCCGCAGCAACGAAAATCCCGCTGATATGGGCACAAGAGGGTGCATACCTATCGAGTTGGCTAACTCCTCGTTATGGTGGAATGGTCCAAATTGGCTCACCAGCCCCCCCGAAGCCTGGCCACGATCTTAAATTCATTAAGCACGGGTACGGGGCGTCCGTGGTTTATATTCCCCATCTCTCTCACACGACGATCTCCGGAGCGCTAAACATAAGCTCATGGCGTTAACTCAAACTCGGTATTTCCCTCGTGAAAAGGCATGCTAAGAGAATTTAATCCCAATTGACAAACGAAGCTCACTACTAACTCTCAACCCCTTTTTGGATAAAACCGGTCTACTCCGGGTTAACGGTCGACTAGCTCATTCCACCTTGACCTACAATGAGCCACACCCGATTATAATTCCGGAAAAATCCCGACTCGTGGTTCTCTACATTCGTTTTCTGCATGATTTCCTTTTGCACGCAGAGTTACGTTTGTTGCAACAGGTCATAAGACAAGAATGCTATATTCCCCGGCTGAAACCGCTTATTAAAAAATGCATATCCCAATGCAAGTTCTGCACTATCCACAAGCAGCAAATGCGTTCGCAGTTAATGGCAGCCCTGCCACCAGAGCGGTGCACCTATGCTCCCCCCTTCAGTATTACCGGAGTCGATTTTGCTGGGCCTTTTCAGATAAAGGCTTCTATGCTAAGAACGACCACCCTAGTGAAGGGTTATGTGGCCGTCTTTGTATGTTTCACGACAAAGGCGGTTCATCTCGAGTTATGCTCCGACCTAACCTCTAACGCGTTCCTAGCTGCGTTTGCTCGCTTTGTTGGACGTCGCGGTTATCCCGCCAAAATGATGAGCGATAACGGCAAAACGTTTATTGGAGCCAAAAGAGCAACGGAGGGAGAATTCGTCCACTTTCTCATCCAGGTATCGGAAGACGTCGTTCAAAAATATTCTGCTCAGGGCATAAATTGGAAATTTATTCCCCCTAGCGCCCCTCATATGGGCGGCTTGTGGGAATCCGCAGTCAAGAGCTTTAAAAAACATTTCAAAAGAACTGCTGGACCCTATTAATTCACCTTCGAAGAATTCACCACCCTATTAATTCGAATCGAAGCTGTTTTAAACTCTCGCCCAATCTCCTCGCTCTCACAAGACCCAACCGACTTCACAGCCCTTACTCCTGGCCACTTTCTGAGGGGCGCTCCCCTCCTATCCATTCCCGAAGTGAACCATGAAGGGTTGTCTCTCTTAAATAGGTGGGAGAAGATCAAAGTCTTACACCATCAGTTTAGCAGACGGTGGAAGGAAGATTACCTCAAAGACCTTCAAAAGCGATACAGGTGGAAGAATACACAACTCGCGTCGAAAATCGGTGAGTGCGTACTCATCCATGACGACACTCTGCCTCCTACGGAATGGCGATTGGGGCGCATAGAAAATACGCATCCCGGACCCGACGGCCATATTCGCGTCGTAGACGTGCGTACTCAAACCGGCATGCTTACACGGCCGATCGTTAAACTCTGCTTTCTGCCCCCACCTGATCGCGATTCCGCCTCGCTGCAAAGCGTGTAACCAGATTCCGAAAGCCCATCTCATGCTCGACTTGCCTCCACTTCGGCATCTCTCTACCAAGACTTTGTTCCTCTATTTCTCTCTCAGATTCACTGTACCGCTCGAAAATTACACACAAAACCTTCTCATAACCCAGTTCTGTCACAAATCCTTCATTAAGAGATACGCACAACATGTATTTGCAGATGGAAGCAAGTGGCGCCCCGCAACCAGCACCACGTACGACACTCCAGTCTAAGGTCGTGGTAGCTGGCACAGACGAGAACGCTGCCAATGGCAGTCCGACCGGACCGGGCGGACAGGATTACCAGCGATGCCGCGTATGCACTCGCCGTCACGCTCTGCGAATGTGCTCGGTCTTCAAGAGCATGCAACCTCAGCAGCGGTACGTACTAGCCAGAGCACACGGTTATTGCACCAACTGTCTCGCTTTATCCCACCACACCAGCGAGTGCAGCTCATCGGGAAGTTGCCGCAAGTGCAACCTCCAGCATCACACGTTGCTCCACCGTAGCCAAACACCAACAACATCTCCTGCCAACAACAACGCCCGCCGACATATTTCCGCAGGAACAGCCTCCCGTCGTCGCAACCCAGGACCAGTGGGAGACCGCATTGTTAAACGGTCAACCCAAGGACTACATACCACAAATTATCGCGGAAAAGTAACTCGCCTCCTCGTCCAGGAAGCACTTCGCGCCATACAAGAGTTGCAACAGACGCTAGACGCATAGTGCGTCTAGGGGGGCAGGATAGCTAATCGAATATCCCCTCTAGCGATTTCCAGTAGTTGGTAACGCGGCAGCCATCATCGATCAGCTGTATGTTCCAGCCAAAACGAACAAAACTTTTATTCTTAATTTTTTTTGTACATATACTCAAACATATTTTTTTTGCATATATCATTGTAATCTGCACATTTGTTAAAACGTTGTTCCCGAATTATAACTCGTTTTTTTCTACCGGCAATTGATCGCGCCTGTTTAATCGACCTTTGAATTTACCTACGTATATTTATGTATATACATAAATAAATCAAAATCGCACATTGAAGTGTATGTTGCAAAACTTAAAATCGTTTTATTGTGCAAGGTGCAACGCGAGTGCCAATTCGGCATTAGCTTAGGGGCAATATTTTTGGTCGCTGAAAATCCTCTCCAGACGGGTATTCCGTCAACAGCAAGAGTGTATCCTACGAGGCGCTCCTTCATTCGACTGCAGCGTTCCGCCCAGAGCGAAAATTAGCTACCACCGCCACCTCAGCAACCAGCAGAAACCGCTCGACTTCGCCACCGGCGGTCCACAACGCGCGCCAGTTCGCCACCACCGCCGCATCCTCTATCAGCCAACAGCTTGAACTCGCCGAAGCCGTCCCGGCCAGAACACCCTCGTTCCTCTAAAGAGGCATAACTGGCCGGACTTGTTCACATTAAAAAAATACAGAATATGCTACTCAAAAACATTTTGATTCTTTTCATAGGGAAACAACGACTTTTTAATGAAATAAAGTTAATTTTTTTCAAAGAATTAAGGGGTGGTTGTTAAAGGGAATATGTATGCGATTATAAGACTATTTAATCATTTCAAAATGATATGGAAATTTTTGATGAACATGAATTTACATTTTTTTATTTAAATTTTCAATATTTGACGTGGGTTACAGCCAGTGTAGCCGCGAATCATTTTTAGTGGTAGCCAAATTCCTTTAAAAAAGGGGCTAAAAAAGTCGTTGTGGCTAAAAATGATAGCTAAAATTTTTTACTTACATATACACGCAAATATTTGCAGTAAGTAATGGTATAGAAAAAGAATGAACCCTGGAAAAAAGCTACTATTTTATCCAACCAAAAACCTTTTTGTATAAAAGGGGAAATATACGACACCAGCTTGCTGGCTCCATCAAGTGATTGTACCATCAGGCTCGAAGCATATACCTACGGTGACCATAAATATGGATTCAAAATGAAGGACAATTTTTCAAAAATATGCCTACATATACTTACTTAGTATAAAAATATCAAAAGAGTATTTATGATTCTAAATTCTTAATACATTTTAAACTTAAAAAAAGGAATCACGTTTTCTTCATCGATATTAATCTTTTTTTACATGAATGTTTATAAAAGTATAGTAAAACATATTATAATTACAATAGCTTACACGAAAAGTGAAAATCTTTAAAAGATTATTTTATAGGCGAATTTTGAGTCGTTCAAAACGAAAACAATAACTTTTTTTGTTTTTTGGTACTTTTCGCAGTAATTTGTCAAAAATCGACGTCATGAATCGACGTAAACGACGAGTTACAAAGGTATTTATGTGCCCTTTTCAAAAATATATAATTTGTGCAAATTGCGCTTCATAGCATCTACATTTCTAATCCGATTTTCATTATCTTTGGATCAAAATTTACTGTAATGATATATCTTATTTATCGAATTTTTAAACTAATGAAAAAAAATATCAAATAAAGCTGCGTATTTGATTGAAACTCTCACTTTTTTCGACTTTGACGACAAAATGCAAATGGTCGCCTGTAGCACTAATAATTTTCATTGAAGTCGCCACAAGTTATATATTTTGGTAAGAGGCACATCAATACCCTTCGAGCTGTAAGTCGCTTACGTTGATTGGGAGATTTTTTCATGAGATATTGAAGAAAAGCTACGAAAAGTACCAAAAAAACACATTTTTGAAAAAATCCATCCATTGTCCGATAATTTTAAAACAACGAATAAAATGCGGGACAAATGCAGGACACTACATTTTCAGGTTTTTTAGGTTTGAAAAACTACGCATGACCGACCTTTGAAAAACAGTACGGTCCTGCAAAAAACAGAACGGATGGTCACCGTACATATACCTTACCAGCATGCTAGTACAATATTTATTTCTTTACAAATGAGGTCGAAGATCGAAGATTAGAGCCGAAATTTCATAATTTTTCTGCAATTTTATTAAACAATTTTTATAATTTGCAACTGCAATATCGTGAACTTAATCTTCCACAAACACGGCTTTTACTTACATAGTGCTAGAAATTTCCTCAAAAACATACTTTTTGCTTAGAAAATTTATCTAATTTCACCACTCATGACACCAGCATGCTGGTACAATCATAAAATTTTCAAATAATTTTTGAAGTCGCACCAGCAGCTGGTACAGTCACACCACAAGAACATACACAGTCAGTCGACTTGATGGGCCCTTTAACAAATTAAGCATATTAAGGGCCGTAAACTTATCTATATTAAACTATATGTACACTGAAAATAAAATTTCGTAAAAGTGCTACGAAAATATTTCGTAGTGTTGGTTTTTGTACAATGTACGAAACTTTCGTTCATAATACGAACACATTTTTCACAACGAAACAAGATTTTACGAACCATACGTAAATATAACGAAAGGACTTTCGTAAGGTATTTTTTCAGTACAATTTACGAAATCTTACTTTTATTTTACGAAACACGTTCGTAAAGTACTGAACAAATCTCTGTACGAATAATTTTGTTTATTGTAGGAAGGCATTCGTAATATTTACGTATGGTTTTAAAATTTACGAAATGTACATCTCTGTATTGGTACAATTTAGTTAATACTTTCGTATAAAGTACTAATGCAGAAACATGTTTTTTAAATTCGTACAACATACGAATATTTTCGTACAATATACTCAATTACCGGCAGTTTAATATTTCATCATATTTTTATGTATGGCGTGTCATTGCGGAGTTAATTGTTGGCTGCTGTGAAACGTATAATATAATTTTAAACGTTTTAAAAAGGGATTTGCTTGATAAAAAAACAATACAAAATCAAATATTAAAGCTGTGGATATACTATGCTTTTAAGCATACAATGCTTTTAACATCGACTACGCTGCGCCTTGCGCTGCAATGTGGGACTTGATAAATAGGCAATTTCATCAGTTACCTATCAGCGGCAAGCCTAAGCCAGGAGCACTACTTAATGTAATTAAAAGTAAGTTCATTTATGACTTTTCACTGGAACTTGCTTTTCAGACGCCTTATAATTTTCCTTTAATTTATAGTCGTCAAGGAAACAAACATCGATGAAGCTGCGAATCTGTCAAGTGCCTCTACATAAAAATATTATAATGTTTAAGAAAGTAAAACCAGTATTTTTATTCCTTTCATATTTTATATCTTATTATATTTAGTTTTATTGAGTCTCATAGTTTAACACTTTGCATCAATATACTTTATTGAATGAAGCCTAAGCAATAAAAAAATATATAGTATAGAACCTATTCGTATGCATATAAATAAAAGACTTAAGTTTTATTATAAGTAAAATAACCTTTTTCATTAATTCTAAACTACAGTGTAGTCAGAAAATTCTTCTTATTTCGTAGAACGTATGATTGCTTTTATTATTAACACTATAAAAAACATGACTAAAATTATACCACAACACATTCATTATGTTTTAATCAATAATGTTAAGCGTTTTTGCAAAACAATTTGTTAAACAAAAGGATAATGAAAGCAAAATCGCACATTCTACGAAACAAGCGCAGATTTTACGAAAGTGAAACGTAAGTGATTTCGTTAAATATACGGATTATTTCTGTGCATTTTACAAAAATTTCGTAAAAAAATAAAGAAATTGTAGGAGTTTTTTTAGTAAATAGTACGAAATTCGTTAGTAAATAGTACGAAATTCTTTAGTAAATAGTACTAAATACTACGTAAGTACGAATACATTCGTAAAATGTACTAAAAATCTGATGCCTCATATTTTCGTAGTATGTACGAAAACGGTTTTGTACAATCACAGAAAACTTTCGTGGCTCGAAATGACGAAAAATTTCGTAAGATTTACGCAAGTTTTCGCTATATATTTACGCAGATTTTATTTTCAGTGTAGTTAAATCGTTAATAGATAAGTTAACAGCCCTAACACTTTTACGGTATGTATGTATAAAAACGTAAGGAACATATAATACATGTATATATATATATATATATATATATATNAAATAAAAGACTTAAGTTTTATTATAAGTAAAATAACCTTTTTCATTAATTCTAAACTACAGTGTAGTCAGAAAATTCTTCTTATTTCGTAGAACGTATGATTGCTTTTATTATTAACACTATAAAAAACATGACTAAAATTATACCACAACACATTCATTATGTTTTAATCAATAATGTTAAGCGTTTTTGCAAAACAATTTGTTAAACAAAAGGATAATGAAAGCAAAATCGCACATTCTACGAAACAAGCGCAGATTTTACGAAAGTGAAACGTAAGTGATTTCGTTAAATATACGGATTATTTCTGTGCATTTTACAAAAATTTCGTAAAAAAATAAAGAAATTGTAGGAGTTTTTTTAGTAAATAGTACGAAATTCGTTAGTAAATAGTACGAAATTCTTTAGTAAATAGTACTAAATACTACGTAAGTACGAATACATTCGTAAAATGTACTAAAAATCTGATGCCTCATATTTTCGTAGTATGTACGAAAACGGTTTTGTACAATCACAGAAAACTTTCGTGGCTCGAAATGACGAAAAATTTCGTAAGATTTACGCAAGTTTTCGCTATATATTTACGCAGATTTTATTTTCAGTGTAGTTAAATCGTTAATAGATAAGTTAACAGCCCTAACACTTTTACGGTATGTATGTATAAAAACGTAAGGAACATATAATACATGTATATATATATATATATATATATATATATATCAGTCTTTCTT